TTATAATTTTGAGAATTTGAGATTTATACGTTAAATACTTTCGTTCTTCCTCTATAAAAGGATACCAAAAAGATTCCCACAAGTTATACCGTTTGTCGTCGGGAACGGTTTTTGTATGGGGTTGCAAATTTAAAACAAATAATTAATTATATGTAAGTGGAGGTGGCTGGGGGGCCTTTTCTGGTATTTACGCATAGACCTCATCGACTTATATCTTTGCTATAATTTTCCAATTTATCGATCAATCAGGGAGCGCAGGTTGCTTGAATTAATATCAATGCAAATCGCATTTACTCGTAAAAAGTTTTATATTTAACGAAGTTTGCCATGATATTTAAACTCGGCTAGACATGAACGACCCTTTATACAGGGTGCAAACATAATACAATTACATTTTGCGAAAGTTCCGTAGTGGTCCGCAGGAGCATGACAGAAAAACAATGCTTTCTCTTAGGACAAGAAGCCGCGAAGCGGCTTCTCCGAAATACAAAGCCGCGGAGCGGCTTTGTTGACTGCGTAGCGCGTAGCGCGGAGCAGTCGCCTCGCGCAGCGACGAGATTGCGAAAGCAATCTTGTTTTAATCTTCTCCTGAAGATGCCAACTTGGTTGGCGAAACGCGCGTCGAGTACGTAAAATTGAGTTTCGTTTTGCGGTAAAACGCGTTATTATGTGTTAGTACAGTGTCGAAGGCTCCAGTCAAGAGTTTGGTTTCACTATGAGTTTGTAACTTTTACTATAGCAGATAATATTCATATTCATTTATGGTGCCTTCAGTAATAATTGAAAAAAAAACAAATTTATACCGGATGTCCCAGTAAAGTTACCGAGGGGAAACGTACAGAATGCATGTGTAACTGGTGGCCTAACTACTTGCTGTTAAATCGACCCAAAAATAAATGCCCAACAACCAGGCGAAAATACTTTGAACAAAAAAAAACAAATTTTGAGGCTAAAGCATAAAGTTTGTAACAAATACTCTTGTGGGATAACATCGAATTCTTCCCAAAGTGCAATTCGCGGATTACGAAGGCTGCTTAAGCGTTTTGGAGAATATCTTATATACAGAGTTATTCAATATACGTTAGTTCGTGCAATATACGGAGTGTTTCACGGTTGATGGTACTTTAGACGTTTAGAGCGAATGGTACACTAGACTGTTCTGAAAATTTGGCTGGTTTGATAAAAGGCGATGCTCTATCAACATTAAAATTTTAAATGGGACATCATGTATATTATTGAATCTTCAGATCCGCTAATACTTTATCAGTGTTTTTGAATAATACGTTCCTGTACCCTATCTTCAGCCGTTTTCGAGAAAAAAAAAACTCCGACCGAGCTTCAATTAAATTTTTATTACTACAATACTGGAGCCAGTAGAAAGGTAAAATTTTTGCCATAGTTTAGAGAGGTATCGAACAGAATTTCCTAATATCGAAATTAGTTCTACATTATACAAGGTTATAGTGAAAAGTAGTGTTTTTTTGAATAAAACGCCCCGTACATTATAACATATTTTGAGAACGAATTAAATTTCCTTTCGAATAAAAAGAAGTTCCTTTTAAAATTGGAGTACTTTGGCATAATTAATCTTTTCGTTGGCCAACGAAGCAAAATTTTCAGAAGAGGGCATTTTCAGTTGAGAAAATCAACACTTTTAGTTTGTTGACAATCCTCATGCTACAGAAGAAACGGGATTTTAAAGGAAATTTAGTTTAAATGTGTTTTGCTTGCTAAAAGGTAATACAGTAAGTTTTTTATTTACGATGAGTGCAAATACAGTGGTAAATGTTTTCCTCAAGAATCTTAGCCTTCAGGAACTTCGGACAGCGACTAATTGCACTGCAAAAACTACACGATTTATTTAATCGAAGTTTGGGGCAGTGGAATTGGCCAGCTAGATCGCCCGATCTCACGCCATTGGATTTTTACCTATGAGGTGCGTTAAAATGACGCTTCGATTTTGACACCGATGCGGAGCACGGAAGAGTTACCTCATCGGATTGTATAATGCTTTAAACAAAAAAAAATCTTGGAAGAAGAATTCTGCTACCATCAGTCGACTTCAACCGATTTGAAACACATTTTTCCAAGTTTTATTTTAAATACCTACCTATTCTGTTAATGTAAATAGTTTGTAAAATATTTTTCGTAAAATGATTTTCAAAGCTTTTCTTAATTCTGAGAAATTTGAAAATGAATTATTTAACATATGACGGATATTTATTTCATGGTCAACTAAAAGACAAATTATGTCAAAGTAATGCAGTTTTGAGAGAAACTTGCTTTTATTTCGGCAACCAAGCGAAAGGGAACTTAATTTGCTCTTAGAATATATGATAACATATAGAAAGTTATATTTAAAAAATACGCTTTTAACTATTTTTGTATCTCTTAGGCAAATCATTAGTTTTGTCCAACCCTCTATGATATAGAACGATTTTCGATATTAAGAAATAATGTGCAGTACTACCTTCGCTCCTTACTTCCAAAATTTTCATTTTCTGCTGGCGTCAGTGTCGTAGTGATAAAAATTTTAATGAATGAAACTAAAGATAAGTATAGTTATAAAGTATTTGTGTCCCATTTAAAATTTCAATGTTGACGTTACTTTTTCGAAGAAGTGGAAAAAATAGTTTCAATCAATAAAACATCACCGCTTAGTTTTCAGAAGTTCAGTCTAAATATTTAAATGAAGAATGGAAAACGTCAAATCGACATAGTATTTTTTAACTTCTGTAGACTTAGAAGTCTCGACAGAGACTATAATGAATTGTGAGGTTAGAATCTGCATGCTTGTACAAAAATAATTGTAAAACTTTTCGTATACTGGGTAATTTTCGTTTACTTCATTTTCTACATAAAAAACCAACCAAATAAAATTTATTTTCAGCCATTTTACTGATAATAATCGAAATTACTGAGAGCTTTAAAGAATGACAATACACAACAATTTCTTAATATATGTGTTGCAGACACTGATAATTTGACAACTCTACCGTATGATCTAATATAATTAGTGCTGCCACCTACACTACGTACTGACAACCATTTTAAAATTTGGAATCCATAGAAATAAAACACTGACTATTAATTAGGAAAAAAATTTTGAGAAATTCTGTAGATAAAAAATTATTAGAAGCCATTTCTGAAAAGTTCAAAATTTACTAATTTTTAAATGACTGTAATCAATCTTCTTTTAATGATAATCATACTTTATTATACGGTTTTAGAAAGCCTAAAGACTCAACTTTAACAATATAAACTGCTTTTTTGTAAAAAATTGCGAACATTATACGTAAATTTAATTTTAGTGAAAAAATAATTTTCCCCATGTTAACTAAATCTGAAACTAAAATAAAAATAGCGACCCGTTAGAGTTGAGCTACAGCTATCAAAAAGAAACATGTGAGAAGGTAAGAGCTAAAAAAGAAATTAATTTTTTTTTTTGAAGCACCCTACTATATATCAACAGAGCTATTTAATTTTAGTTTATTTGGACACAACCATTTCTTCGCAAATCCATTCCAGAAACCGACATAAGTAAATAAATTGAAAAATGGTTAAAAATCCCTTCGAGATTTTCTTAACGATTTAAACTCTCTACATTTTACCATTGCATTAAAAACTATAGATATTCTTATTAATAGAAAATTAGACCTAACATGCATTGTCACATTACAATCCAGCCCAAAAATCATAAGCAGTGAAACTATCGCCACCCGAACAAATAACATCTTACTTTCAAAACATCTTAGACAACATATCAAAACCACCACTTGTCCAAAAATTTGTCAACATCTTAGATCTATTAAGGACTTAAATACTGATCAGCACTTGCCGAACACAATCAATGTAATCAATTCTTCTACAATCTCTAGACAACCAAACAATCTTAACCGCGACTCAGATTTTACCTTTCACCAAAATAGACAGTCTTTGTATTTCAGTTAAGCTCTAAAGAAGAAAACAGGATGATTGCAGCAAATTCGATTTATCAACAACTGATGCTACAGGAATACAACAGTGGGTTATAAGTACCATAAAAATTTCTTTCTTTCTATTTTTGTAAGTTCATTAGGGCTTAAATATCTAACTAAAGACAAAGGATTCTGCGTCTTCTGATTATATTATTAGCCCTCAACAAAATAATATTTTGATCTCAAACACTAATTTTCAAACTGGTAACGAAGACTAAACTACTCACACATTTTTGCGGATACTTTAATACTTTTTTTTAGTGCCAAACCCTAAATTGAAATAATAATACTAATAATAATTGGATATTTTATTAAAAAAAGTATAAAAATTATTATTACAGGTAATGTTGAAAAATATGTTTTATAAACTTTGAAGATTTAAATTGAAATAATCTATACATGCGCATTCATTGGCACAACTCATTGTCGATCCAGAATCAACTGGCAAAATTCTAAACAACTTGTTGGTCTTGGATTTTTTTTTTTATAGAGAATTAGCAATCAAACATCCGGGTTGGGCTCGTGGCAATCTTGTTTGCCCGGATAGTGTCGGGTTGGTGCTTCTACCAGAAGTCACCGACCGACTAAACCTTTCCCTCTTCTACCCTTTTGTCTTCTTGGAACTGCTGACAGGCATTACTTCGAGAAAAGGGTCTCCGATTGACTGAAGTTCACCGAGCTTGTATAAGATTTGCCCGTTCTATTTTTTGGCAGAGTATTTGCTTTGTCATTTTTCAGGCGTGGCCCCAATTTGTCGGCGACTCTAACATTTTTTCAAATAGGTTGTCTGGGTTTATGTGACCTAGTATTTGCTCCGCTATATTTCGCTGCATGTTCCATCTTGGGCAGAAAAATAGCGTGTGTTCAACCGTATCCACGTTTAAGCAATAAAGCCAGTCCCCGGTTTCGGCCAAATTAAAACGTTTGAAGTAGGCTTCAAAGCACCCGTACCCAGTGAGTATTTGTGATTTCACCGCGTCGTCTCTCAAAACCATGGTCTTATATTTGGAATTAGCTGTTTACTCCATTCCGCTGTACCATCATCTCTGTCCCATTCCTCTTGCCAGCATAACATCAACGTGTTTTGTGCTTCCTTTTTAGTCTCTGGTCCATCTTTCTGTATACGGGCTCTGCACTTAACTAGGAGATTAGTAGGGGGGATCCTAGCTATCACTATAAGTGCCTTTTTGGAGTTTGTTCTGTCTGCTCCGGATACTCTTATGGCTACCTTCCTTCGAACGCTACTCAGTATCCTTTTATAGACTTTCTTCTCAATCACTTGTTCCGATATTGAGGCACCATATGGTAGTATTGAAGTCACTACGGAGCATAATATCGCCCTGGTGTTTTCAAGAGGTCCATTCACTTTTGGTAAAAGGCGACTGATGTTGTTCAAGGCCTTGTTGCCTTTTTCTGTTACGGCTCTAGCGTGGGCCCGCATGGACATGTTCCTATCTAGTTTTATACCTAAATATCTGACTACTTCCTGACTTTGAGTTGTTATGCTTTCCACTGTAACTGAAATGCTTTTAACCTTTCTTCCAGCAAGAAGTACAACTGCCTCCGTTTTTTGGGGGACCAATTTCAGGTTTTTAGATCCATTCTGTGACATTGCGATTGGCTACTGTTTCCATCATCACGTTCCGTAGGGTTGGATCTATTACTGATCCCCGAGGGACCTGGTCTTCGAAATTAGAATTAGATTCATCATGCCAACCTGTTCAACCTGTTCGGAATTTGTATATGTTTCTAGTTAGCAATCGTGACTATTGCTCATTTAATTCTTGCCATGTAACAATGATGACTAGCAATCTGTATTCTGTTTCTCCAAATTTAACAATTTCAAATAACAAGTAACTTAACGATCATATTTTGCTCTTATCTTCATTGATCCATTAACAGTTTTGCAACTTTTAAGACATGAATTAGGCAGTTCCAAATTTTTATATATACTTTTTCGCTGCTCCAGATAATATGGAAAATCAGTAAATAGATCTATTTTGTGGCTATTTTCTTCTCAACGAATATTAAAACAATCTTTAGAGAAATTAAGATAAGATTGAAGTATCGATTTACGCCGTTCGGTTACTTTTTTACTTAAAAATTCTAAGCTCTAAGGATTTTACCACAACCTCAAAGCCTGAAGAATGGAAAACAAATTTCAAATGTTCCGTTCCAGAAGTTTTGTAAAAAATATTGCAGTAAAATGTAGAAGTTTCTTTGGAAAAAAAAATGTTCATGATCATTTAATTTATACAAATCAGCGAGAACAAACAATACAAGACATAAACAATCACTGTTAAAACAGAATCATTTTGAAATTCCTAACGAGAAATGCGTTAGCTTATTTCCGCTAAACAAAGAGGCCAGCAGAAATTTAATAGCTGAAATACAACCATTTATGAAAGTTCCGCAACTAAAACGAAAAATTCCTCTTCAATTGCAGGTAAATAAAAATTGTAAAAATTTATTTATGGCGCTGTCATTATTTTTTAGATCTTCGTCAGTTTCAATTTTTATTATTATTATTTTATTAAGATTACGGTAAGTGAACATTTAAATTTAACAACTAGTCAACATGAAATTCTTTCTGCTTTCTTCTTCTTTCTTTCAATAACTATTTGACAATGTCACTGTCCATCAGCAATGTTGGTTAGGGTCTTGCTTCATAGCAATTATTGTTAAGATTGAAGAAGCAAAATTTGATTTTACATATTCACATTACTATCGTATAAAGTTTTAACAATCATCACATCATAACAATGTAGAAACAAAATAGATCTGAATATCGGGATTAATAATAAAATAGTATAGTACAATAAAAAAAGTATGTTCAACACGGCTGATGCATTCTGCGTTTACAAATTCCAAAAAAGAAACTTCGTCTCATTGGTGCATATCTAAGGCTCAGAACATAGTGGATAGCGGCGAGCAAGCAGCGCGACATCGCGTCCAAAACAAACCTAGGGATGTTCCGATACAATTAAAGTATCGATACCTACTCATTTCGATTGTACTCAAATCTTTTTTCGATACTACTCAAATAAATACTCCTAAAGTATCGATACTTACTCATATCGATACTTTTAGCACTTTATTATTTTTTTATTTACTTTAAGGAAACTAACAATGAACGTTGAAGGACAATAATTAAAACAAAATTAAGAAGGAAAAGAAAACTTTTATTGTAAAGGTTTGCGTCACGTTAAGCACGTACTTTAAACAAAAACTCCATCATAACATTGGAATAAGCCGATGATTACAATAAATAAAATTATTCGTAAGCAATCTCTTGTATGTTTGACAATTTATGTTGTTTGACAATGAAAAAAAATGAAGGGCGGACATCTTTCTCGCTTTTGGCTCGTTTTTTTTTCTAAATGGTAATGCTGATTCGATTTGATACCAAGTACTTTTGTTTCGATATCGAGTAAGTATCGCAATATTGATTCGATGCTATAAATACTTGGTATCGAATCAAAAGCATCGAGTACCTACTCGTATTTACTACTATCGGAATATCCCTAAACAAACCTGTGAAGACAGGTGCGTGTGCACATAGTAGAGCGATCTGCTCGAGCGACGAAATCGATTCAAATAATGGATTGTCAAAAATTAATAGATTTAGTCTTTGTGAGGGAGGATTTATGGGATCAATGAGTTAAAAATCACCATAACCGGTACATTTTAGATAAATTATGGGATGAAGTGGCAAAGGAAATGCAAACGACACGTAAGTATCTTTTATTTAACAGTAACAAACTTTTCAATTCTATTATTACATAAATAATTTTGAAAGTCTCTCTAATATCAGACGCAATATTTGTACTCCTATTATTTGTGCGTTGAGCTCCTATATTAGATAATGTGGGCTCATTTTGATGTTCATTTATTAACTGAGTATCAATTCCCTCAAGATCTAAAATACATTTAACAATTAAATCAGCAAATTCTGGATGCGTCTCGATAGGTTTCCATAAAAGTCGCCATTTAGCATTTAAAATTCCGAATGCGCATTCTACCGTTCTTCGTGCTCGTGAAAGTTTTTTATTGAAATATTCCTTTTCTGGATCAAGCTGTTGACGACTGTAAGGTTTTAATAAATGTCTCAGTAAGGGATAGGCTTCGTCGCCTACAAAAACAAATGGCATCTTAATTTGTGTATTGGGGAGTGGTTTGTCATCTGGAATATTCAATCTTCCTTTTTGCATTGAGTGAAACACAGCAGATGCTCGAAATGTCCCACCGTCACTCTGTTTTCCAAACCCTCCTACGTCAATTATCAGAAATTTGTAATTGGCGTCAACAATTCTTTGTAGAACGATAGAAAAATATTGTTTGTAGTTATAAAATATGGTACCGCTATGTTTCCCATCAATACTTCCGATACAATTGGGAAAGTTCCGTTTTCCATAGTATTCTTTTGCTATGTTCAAAAAAATAGTTTGGTCTGGAATACGCATATGAATTGGCGGTAGCGTTTACCATAGAATTGTTATTGTTTTCCATATTATTTTTGCCACAGTGGAACAACCTACCCGAAAAGTAAATGACAAGGATTTAAATGACGATCCAGTGGCTAGAAACCTAGAAAAAAAAAGTTATTATAGTTACAAGATGACCGATTGAAAAAGAAACATTCCCATATAATGTTTGTTTTCTTCGGATATTCTTCCACATGTTGTGAAAACGAAATATGTCATGAAAACTCTTTTCCTACGATTGTTCAAAAAGTTACTATTTTTTGCACTGTGCAGTAACTCACAAATCGCAGTTTTATGTTGTATGCTGTATAAAAGCGTTTTTCATCTTTTAGGCGGTCGAGTAAGGAATAAGTGGAAAAATGTTCGTGATACTTTCCGTCGAGAATTGCAAAAAAATGCTCGCCGATCTGGCGATCCCGAAGGGAAGAAACTGAAATCTTCATGGCCATTTTTTGAACAACTTTTATTTTTACGTGATCAGTTTACTGCACGCCCTTCCACTGGCAATTGGTCCCAAAGTCAAGATGAATATGATGATGATGCATCTCAACCAGAGTAACCATCAGAAGATAACGAGAACATATCAGTCACGTGTAAACCATTTTCTCCCAGCACATCCCATGATCGTCGAAAATCTTCTGTTACGATGATCGGTCTCGTGATCGACCAAATAAAAGACAAATTAATGACCATTTCGGGCAACAGTTGTTGGACATCGAAAAAAGGAAATTGACAAAATTTGAGGAAATTAACGATGAAGATTTAGCCTTTTTCAATAGTTTGAGGCCGCATGTCAGCAAATCTACCAGTTAAAACACCAAATACATCGGCTAATTCTACACCAAAGCAACCAGAGCTAGCATTATCGCAAAGACAAGCAGATTCATCATATTATGATTTATCTGGAAACATGAATTGTACTCAGTATTATGATAGTTTTGGACGTGTCTAGAATAACCGCTTCATTTATTTTGTATTTAGTTTGTACTCAAGAATTAGATCTCAGTTTAGAATAAATATCTTATTTATCATTTGTCCAAGTTACTAGAACTTACCTCAGTGTTATTATTAAACGCTCGGCGGGTCCTATAGGAGTGAAATTGAAATTGGTCCAGTTCTCTATTGGCTAATCATTTATCAGGCTTAAAATATAATCAAAAGTGGCTACTTCCATTCTGACATATCCGTAAAATCTTGTGGGGTCTAGCCGCAACTTTTCGTAAAGAGTGTGAAATTCTCCACACTCTCTTAGTTTTTTAAAAATTTCGTGTATACCACAACTTCTTCTTTGATGATTACGAAGATACCAAATTTTAGCGGCACTACTGTCTAGAAGTTTTACCGCTCATAACATTTTAACTTCACAATAAACAAATGAAAATAATATATTATGCAGGTATTAGGCTATTCCTCGCCGCTCTACTATATTTCGACACCTCAGGCTTGCTCGGCGCGATGTCGCGCTGCTTGCTCGCCGCTATCCTCGTCGCTCCACTATGTTCTTAGCCTAAGATAACATAGGTACTGCGTTTTAGTAGTCGTTTTTTTGATCCCGTTGAAAATGCAAAATTATCTAGATCATAAATTTTAAACAAATCGACTCGCGTAGCCAATTTTCCACTACAATTTATATATTTTCGCGATTAAAAAATATATATGTTGCAGTCAAAGCATTCATTTAGTAAATGTATACATTTACTAGTCAATGCATACATTTGCTAAACTCCGCAGTTAAAGTCTTCATTTTAACCGAAATGAACACATTTGCTAGTGGATGTATGCATTCACGGACTGCTTCTAGTCAAAGTGGGAAGTGGGTTAAATTTACCGGGAAACCTAAAACCTAACCTCTTTATTCGTGCTGCACCGTTTGCTGTTTGCTGTTTGTTGTTTTTCCATTTGAGATTCTTTGTAAGTGAATTGTTTAAATTGTATGTGTCCAGACTAATTATTATTAATTATTTTTTTAGTCATAAATATAAAATGGATAAAGAAGCGATGAAAGTTAAATTCTACGAATATATTAACAATACTGTCGCGAACATTGCATTGTATTTTCTTTGCTGTTAGGATTATTTCATAAGCAGGCAACAGTGCGGTTTGGCCGTTTAGTCAAGAAGACGAATGC